GCTGAGGTCAGCGTGTCCCCCCCTCCGTGTCCCCCCCAAAGAGGCTCCGGGGGTGCCTGGGTGCTGGGGGACTCCTACCCATGGGGAACCCCCAAATTTCCCCTGTTCCCGTCCTGCCTGGGCTGCAGCCTCTTAACCCTGTGTCTGCCAGCGCCCTGCCGAGGGATGCGTGCCAGGACCTCGGTGGGTGCTGGGTTCCCCCCCCCTTCCCAAATTGGGGTGGGCAGACTGCACCCCAAGGCTAAACCGCGGGAGCTTCTGTGTGCCGGTGCCTGAAGGATTGAATCTTTAACGTGCAACTGTTCACCCGACAGACTGCAACGGCTCTTCCCACGTCCCAGTCCCCCCCAGCCATTGCTGCACCACTGACCATCACCGGGTACCACCGGGAACCACTGAACATCATCAGCTACCACCGGGCATCACTGGGTACCACTGGCCATCACCAGGTCCCACCAGACATCACTGGGCACCACTGGATTAGAGCAGGGCTTGGCCCCAGCTCTGTCTGATTGGGCATAAATCTGAGTTTTACTGAGGCTCAGTAAAGGGGACGGGGGTCTGTCACCCCCTGATCCACCCCGGGCGAGGGATGCTTGGTGTCGGGGGCAGGAGCAGAGGGGTTTGGGGGGGTGTGGGGTGTGTCTGCAAAGCAACCTCACGGCCACGTCATCCTCGTGGCAAACCAGCCCTGCAGAGCACTGCTGAGGCTTTTTGTCCCCTACTTTCCAGTTTGCCACCAGCCCCATGGTGGGATGCGCTCGGTGGGTGCCCAATCTCAGCACCTCCCCGTGGGGTGTCCCGGCTCCCCCATCCTCCGGGAATGGCAAATCACCAGGGAATAGGACAGCAGAATCCAACTCCTTGGTCCGGCGAGGCGAGGGGCTGGGTGGCCGCAGGGGTCCCCTCCGGTGGGACGATGTGACCCCGGTGCTCCCCGGCCGTGGGTGAGCCGAGGCCTCCGGGAATCGCTCCCAGCCCGAAGAGATTGATCGCTGTGGGGCCGAGGAAGGGCAGGGGGGGGGCAGGTTCCAGTTAA